TGATTCTATCCGGGCGAATAACCCGAATAGCACTTTCAAACAGGTGAGCAAGGATTTCTGAAGGTCAGTCCTGACCTTTCTCTGACCTTTCTTTAACCCTTTAAGCCCATTTCCTCTGAGTGTAACTGACCCATGAACATGAACTCTTTAGGATGACTGTTAGATTGACATCACCACACATTGAGGCATGCATTCTGTGTGCAGAAGAGTAGAGAGTGAGTGTGGGAGGTTGGCAGGCGTTCTTGTGCAGTGTGCTCCTTCTTTTCCCATCACACATTATACATCGTTATATGTCTCCTCCTTCTATTCTTTGTCTGTTACTCTCTAGTAACACCTCTAATCTTCAGCACTTAGATGACCTATTTATGTTGCAAGTGCTTTAAATTCATACTACAGCTGAAAAAAAAGGTTGAGTGTGCTGAAGTGTATGCCTGAATCTGCCTGGTTAAGTTTAGGAATATAGAACAGGAAGCAGAATGATGAATGAGTCTTATTTTTTTTACATGGAGATGGTTAATTTGGAGAAAGAAAGAGGGAGTAATGAAGGGAGAATGTTCAGGGTGAGGGAAAGAGAGAGAGGAGAGAGAAAGAGATAGAGAGAGAGAGAGAGAGAGAGAGAGAGAGATAGATTGAGAGAGAGAGAGAGATCGAGAGAGACTGAGATAGAGTGAGAGAGAGAGAGATCGAGATAGATAGAGAGAGAGAGCGAGAGAGAGAGAGAGAGAGAGAGAGAGAGAGAGAGAGAGAGAGAGAGAGAGATTGTCTCCTCAAAAATAACAGAGCACATTAGAAGGAGAATATTAGATAGCAGTAACTTTAGTCTTGCAACCATAGCACTGAATTTCTAGAAAAATCATTCAGTCAAGGGAGACAAACCTTAGGATAAAAAAACAATTATTGTAATTGTAGTCACATATACGTCAAACTGTCTACCTGGGTGTCCGGGGCTTGGCTGAATCGGTTTTATTTTTATGGAGCTGAAGGTTGTGAAAGCTCATAATAAGCTTTACTTGAAATACTCTTGTACTTTTTGAAGATAACTGACAATGTTGATGTTGGTGTGGCAATATATACAGTATGAGTGTTTTTGCTTGTGTGGTTATATGTATGTCTATGTATGTACAGGTGGATAATAAAGAGGGGGGAGGGAATTTTTATATTTTGTAAACATGAAATAGTATAATTTTCTATTCATACAGGTAGTGATTGATAGTCTCCTCTTTTAATTCTTCCAAAACAATGTATTCTTAATTAAGATAGTTTTATTAAATTATTGTCTAAAATAGCTTACTTCCTCTCTGAGCCATCTGGAGTATGTCAGGAAAAAGGAGGGTAATGCACACTGTGTTGGGAACATAAATAAACAAAACAAATAGACAAACAAACCAAGAAATATTGTAACTTGTATTCATCCTTTGTTGTTGTTGCAGGCACAGCAGATGTTGTTGGACTGGAAGATGCGGGAAGGTGACAATGCTAAGGCGAGCACGCTGGAGAGAATTCTGAGAACCACTGGCATGGTGGAGGCCTCACTGTTGTTAGCTCCATAGGCCCGTCTGTTGTGGAGGCTGATAGTTAGCTGAGTAATAGGGTTGTGGTGATAGTGTAGTGTGACAGTAAAGTGTCTGTATACTGTATGTCAGCACTGTTTGATAGTATTGTTTGTATTGTTTGACCAGATTATATGGACAGTATTGTATGACCTTTCATACATTGTATGGACAGTATATGTGAGAGAATTGTGCACAGTTTTGTGAAATTATATTTTGGGGTAGTTGTGTCTGACCATATTGTGTGAATGTTATCTTGTAGTTTTGGGCGTTTGTTGCTTTTATTTGTCTGAATTACGCATTTGTTAATATTTTTGTAAGTGTAAGTTATATTTAAAATTCTGTCCCACAATTTCATTTTATTTTGTATTCCCATTCGGATTTATTTTGGTGAAGGTAGTAGTAGTATATATATATATATATATATATATATATATATATATATATATATATATAATATAATTCTGGTGGCGCTGATTTTGGAGTCATCTTTTAAAAGAAGAAAGCACACACTCTTCAGATCTCAAAATTTAAACGTACGCAACTTTTGATGTTCTTAAGAAAATGACAGAGCCATATTTTCATGTTTTTGGACTTTAGAATCAATAAAAATGTAGGATCGCTATTATGATTAATTAAATACTCTTAAATTGAGCCATTGGTTTCCTATTCCACTTTTTTAAAATGTAAGCTTTTGCTGTTCAGTATAGGTCAAAAGCTGCTCAGATATAAGCAAACAGGAATCCCCAAAGTGTTCCTGACTTATCGCGTTAGCTATAATTGACTGCAATGTGGTGTTGTTGCATTGGGCTAACGTGAATCTTGTAGTTGATAGAATGGTTGCACAAGTGGTTACCTTTTATCAAGATCATATCCTGGTACAAATTATGTATATGTACATGAAGACAGAAGAGTATGGAATGTGCTATTATTCTGTCCATAATTCTTATCTTAAAACTAAACAGAACAAACATACACACTTATGTAGTAAATGTAGGATGAATTCAATATTCCATTATGTTTTTGCATTAAAAAATGAATTCATATTGAAAGTAATGGTGCTCCATTTGGTGCTTTATCTTCAAATTCATTTTGTGGTAATTTTGTTTCAAAATGAAGGCTGTTGAGTACATTTTCTGTGGCTTTATCTCACTGTTTCAGGGTTACCAGATAGTGATTTCCAGTTGGTTTACACATTTTCCCCACTTCTGTGCCACACCTTGCTGTTTGTTCTTCTTTATAACTGTCAATGTGTCAGTAAGACTTTCATCCTATCTCTATATATCCATCAAATTTATTCATCTATTCGTTCATCCATCAATCCCTCTTGCATTCCACTCGTTCATCAGTCCATCTATCCAACCTTCCATCCATCATTCCATCCACCTGTTCACTCATCCACCCTTCTGTCTGAGCAGGTGGTTCGAAGGCGTCCTTGGTAGGTCTTACTTCTTTGTCATCCTTCTCTTACTTCTGCGATGTATCTGGCATTTTTTCAAGTACTAAATTATCTATCTATCTATCTATCTATCTATCTATCTATCTGTCTGTCTGTCTGTCTATCTATTTATCTATCTATCTATCTATCTATCTATCTATCTATCTATCTATCTATCTATCTAT